ACGGTATAGGGCCAAGCGTAGAGCTCGACGGCTATAACGATCCCATCACCACGCATCTTATGACCCATCTCTGTAGATCATAACCACTCTTAGCTTGGAGGACTGGTACTGTTATTATATTCAGTTTCCCTACGTGTGCGCGTCCTTGATGGTACAAAAGCAAGAAGAGGTCAACGAGGATACCGAAGAGAGACTACCTAGAATGAAACTCAAGAATCCTATTACAACATTCAGAAAGCGAAGATATCCTGCGAAGGCAGTGAAGCCCTGGCCCGAAGAGTATCAAAATCACACTGCAAGAGAGTGACGTGAGTATTACCGTGGATCATGCGGGTGGCGCGGGTCGCTGCGCGGCGGGTAAGGAGACATGTTGGACTGTTGTAGATTGGGGTCGGCCTGCTGCAGCATGAAGTCTGGTGGAAGCTGCTCGGCATCAAAGCCGATGACCGAGTTGGGCAGGCCGGTGTACGGCGAGACGACGTGGCCGGTCTGGTATTGCGTGTACTCGGCTGGGTAGCCTTGGCCTATCCCAGGACCGATGAGCGGTGGCCACCACTCGTAGCTTGGGACGTAAGACAGACCAGGGCTTGCGTTCGCCATGCCATAGGAACCTAGTCCCGAGGACATGCTTCCACTTGCACCACTGTTATCTGGGAACGATTGCGCATTGTGATAGGCTTGAGACACGAGCAGTTCTTGAGGTGCTTCAACGCCAAGGGCTTCCTCTGCTCTGCGCTTAGGCCTACCAGCAGTTTCACTGAGAGCGGTAAGATCGTTCATTTGCACCTTCGCTCCTTTAAGCAGATTTCTGATCCGAAGTGCGGTTGGCCAGACCTCCTGAGACACCGTCTGGGTTCATTGCAAAATGACAGACAAACGCTAAGTTCGGCTTACTTGGAGTTCTTCGAGAGCATGAATGCACTGCAACAGGCCGATTGTAGCTTGTGTATCCCTAGGCTGGCGGTTGACTAGCGTATATCGTCAGCATATAACGTTCAGCGCCTAATGTAGCGAATGGGACAGACGGGTAACAACATGCATAATCCTTCCCAAGAAGACGTGTTAGTACAGCTGACTATCCGGGAACGGGTGAAAAGTACATACCCAGCACTCTGTAGGTATGTGACGACAAATGGCGGACAGCTTTTCAGACCAAAAATCTCGTGGAATGTAGTGACTAATGCGCGGTTAGTGAGTCAGCTTGAACTATACGGTCTGAGGAACTTACTGATCGAGCTGACTTTCGCAGCCGCGCCTCGGCATACGTCGAAGCATTTTGCGTGGATGTGATCCTGGTCTTGATCGTCGTTCCGAACTGGGAGGCTGGAATCGATGAGATATAGGGCCGAAGGAACAACAACTTGACTCACAATGCTCGATAGAGCAACAGCAACGCTGCGTAGTACTCCGCGTGAAGGACAAGCACGTGGGGAGGAGACGGTGCGCGATTACCGTTTTCGTGGTAACGCAGTTCATCTGGTAGCTCAATCATCCAGGTATGCAGAGCGGATTCGAGCTGGTCGAGGAGCTGCCGACGAGGACTGTCCGTGTACCACTTCACGGGGTATATTTTCGACATTATCTCACTCATAACGAATGCTTGTGTAGTCATGAACGAATGCACTGGAAGATAACGACAAGAGGGCTTACAAAGCTTGCATTGAGCACGGAAGCAGGTCATCACATATCCCGGCATGGGCACGAAATTGGGGCCCAGTGAATCGCGCGGATATGGCCTCCAGAGCTCTTGATCCTCGTTCTGATAAAAGGTAAGATTACTGCTTGTTGCTCTTTAATGGCGTAGATACGTACAAGATCGGGATCGGGATGAGGCGTATCAAAGTCGCCCTTCCTGTACATTACCGGCCGACCTGTTCACCAAGTTGCTGAGTCATGGACGAGGTGAGGAGTTATGTAGGCTTACCAAGCCATATTGCAGAAAGTCTGGAACCGGGTCATAAGACTGGGCACAAGGCATGTATGTATGAAGGCTTACTTGTCCGCGATGCAGCACGACGACCAAATCTGCCTTCGAATTTGCTTCTCTACGGGAGTAAAGATGTCGTTCCCTCGGTCATCCTTCCACTTGTCAGCGTCTCGATTCATGCCCAGATCAATTGCCTGCACATCGTCAGTCAATAGAGCGGCGACATTCTGTGAAAATACACACTATCCGACAGCCCATTCCTGACATAGGGCAGATGTCAGTCAAGCATAATCAATCAGCAGAATTTGCCCACCAATCCATAACCAACCCTGCGCAGCGGCACCTGCAAAGTCTTCAGCCCCGCGAATCCTGTACATCGCGCGCATTACTTACCCATGCCAAGCTCACGTATGCCCAGTAGCAGAGTGCTTGGCATATGAGGGTCTG